GTATTTAAGCACAAAGCTACGCAATGGGCTATCTGTGCTCTGCTCACCACGGGTGTATCGAAACCTGGTTTCTAGCGTTGTAAGTCTGCAGACATACATCCGTGCCACTGGGGGGGGGGACCAACCAAGAGCTATAAAATGTTTTAAGGCAGTGAGGGTTTATAACAGTGGTATATTAGCAATAACAAAGATGTCACAGATGGCAGGAAGATCATGACTCACAAGCCTTATTTTTAACAACTGCTTATTAGTGTTGTGTTCGCTACATAGTTTTATTCACTTCAGCATTGAAAAAAAAAAAAATGTCACCAGAATTTTGCTGCCCCATAAAATTTTCCACTTTAGGCCAGGGCCTAGTTGGCCTGTGTAGAAAAATGTCACAGTAGGTGATGTAATAAGTTATTAGAAATAAGTATTGTTTAAATATTCATTTAAGGCTGCTTATACAAATTATTATTATTATTTTTTAATGAGTCTCACTTTACATATTATAGTGTGTTAAAATAGTGAAAAAACAAATAGTGTATTACACAGAAGAATAAGAAATTTTACCACAGGGGGGGAAAAATTCACATGGCTTAAATTAAACCAAATATTAACTTCCTTTTTTTAAATAAAACATTAGTAATTTTATATCAAGTTCATAAATTTTTAGAAAATTTACTCCCAAGTCAAGTGTATATATGAAAAATTGTAAGAGAAATATCATTAGAAAAATGAGTAACTTGACTGTGAATGATGTCTTAACAAAAAAATTCAGTTTGTTTGGTCCAGGTATACGTTTCTGGCATTCACACCTATTGAAAAAATACTTTGAATAATACAAAATGCATTTTGGTCTGACAGAAGTTTTCACATGTTCCACTATCAGATAACTACTCAAATATTCTCTAGTATGTTATTTAGTACTTACTTTTGCCAAGAGGAATAGTTGGCAAAGAGTCCGTATGTGGTGTGGCACAGCCGACTCCATCAGCTGAACGAGTAGCATTGGTAACCAGAGTTTTTCCGTACGCAGTGAAAGCACATAGGAATTGTCCATCAAGCACTGGCAGGTTATTTATTACCAAAGTCAGCTAATGAAAATATATATTGGTTACTTCACAATGCCTCACCTGTCTCTCAATTAATACACGTATCAAAAATTGAAGTCTAGAAATAGCCATCACGGATATTAAGCTAACATTACCAATTTATTCTAATATATATATATATCAAAAATAGTAATTTAATGTCGGGATATAAATACCAACCTAAGTTATCCCATATTATCTAACAAGAAACGTTTATAGTTCAGTTTCTTTTTAGATTTACTAGTAATAGGGATTTGTTCTAATCTGAGATACACAAGACAGCCGTCATCTATCAATTAAGTTAACATCAATTTCACTACTGCAAAAATACCACAAGTATGATGATTTGAAAAAAAAAAGGTATAGAAGAATAGGCTATCAAGTTATGTTTTTACTTTCACAGAAAAAAGTATTGGCTCATTTAATGGAGTGAAAAGCAGCAGACATATAGTTGGTACAGGAAAGATAAAAATCCACTTAATGCATGGTTTCATTCAGTACTTTTATATGAATAACTAATCTTTTTTTTTTATTGAACTTAACCAGCTTATAACTCTCAATTGCCATTATGGCTAGATCATTAAGCCTAATGACACAAACTTGCAATGACTCCAGTAATTTGCCTACTACAGTTTCAGAACAATCACTTCTCTTTTAGTAACAGAAAAAATTTAATTCATAAAACCAAAAAAAATGGTAAGGTCTGTCACACTGGAACTGTAATAAAATGTGTATCTGGCTAATCACTTAAATCCTCTGATAATGAAATGTGGTAACCGAATTATTAATAAAAATAGAATAATATAGAAATATAACAAAATATATAAGGCTAAAAAACGACACAAATACGCAACCAACTATAAATATTTTAAACACCAGGCTGGCACACAAAAAAAGAAGTCAAATTTTGAGAACCCCATGTAAACACTGATTTTTGTTCCTCCAAGTTAATATAACACAAGTTCAAACACATAAAAATATCATTCTAAGAAGAAAGGAATTCAATTACACAATACATAAGATATTATTAGTTGTATGGTTAATTTACAAAATATTATGATTTAAAAAATTCGAACAAACTTAATTACAATGACAAAA